GTTTTTATTTAAGCCATACTTACTATTCAGTGAGATTATACTTACTACTTCATCAAACTTGACTTATCACTCATTTAAATAATATTTACTACTCAATGAGATTCTACTTACTACTTTATTAGACTTGACTTATCAATCATTTAAACTAAACTTAAGAATACATTTACTATTTCATCAAACTTGATTTTTTTTTCCTTACTACTTAAATCTCATAATTTTTCTTTTAACTAGGTGAAATGTTGTTCCAACAAAACATAAAAATTTATAAATTCAAAATATAATGGAAGTGAAAGTAAAAAGAGAGAGACTTACCTAAAAAGTTCTAAATCAACAACAATTCTATCTTAAAATCTTCGAAAGTTTTAGAAATGAACATTAAATTTTATTTATGGAATCCTCAAATGAATTTGAAATTTTTCTATATTTTGTTAATCATATTTCTCATTAATTGCATTTATTGTGGTAGATGAAAGAGATACTAGGTTTCATTTATTGCCATTCATTGTCATTAAGTAGATAAATAAAAAAATCATATTCCATAAAATGTAAAAAATTATAATAAAATTTATAAATTTAATATTTATTTTGTACATTTTTTTTTTTTTTTGTTTACATTCTATTTTATAAATTTTATATTTATTTTAGAGGTTAGGTACATTTTATTAATGTTTGAATGGTAAGTGTAGCTATGTGGAATAAAGTACAACTATATCAAGTAGTAAGTGTGTTTAGTTATTGTAATAAGTTGGAAACCACTCATTTCAACCATACTTACTATTTTATCAGACTTACTTACCACTAATTTAAACCACATTTACTACTCAATGAGACTCTACTTATTACTTTATCAGATTTGACTTACCACTCATTTAAATAACATTTACTACTCAGTGAGACTCTACTTACTACTTTATCAAACTTGACTCATCACTTAAACAACACTTACTACTCAATTAGACTCTACTTACTACTTTATCAAACTTGACTCATCACTTAAACAATACGTACCACTCAGTGGAACTCTACTTACTATTTTAGTAGACTTGATTAATCAATCATTTAAACTAAACTTAAGATTGCACTCACTATTTCATCAAACTTGATTTTTTTTTTTTTTTCTTACCACTTAAATCTCATAATTTTTCTTTTAACTAGGTGAAATGTTGTTTCAACAGAACATTAAAATTTATAAATTCAAAATATCATGAAAAATTAAAGTAAAAAAAGCGATAGAGACTATAGAGACATAGATTCTTACCTAAGGAGTTCCAAATCAACAACAATCTTTTCTTTAAATCTTCAAATATTCAAAAAAATTAAAAATAAAAATAAAATTTTGTTCATAGAATCCCCAAATAAATTATAAATTTTCCTATATTTTATTAATTATATTTCTTCATAAATTGCATTTATTATTTTCAAGTGTGATAAATGAAAAGGAAATTAGGTTTCATTTATTGCTATTAAGTAGATAAATAAATAAATAATCATATTTCATAAAATGTAATAAATTATAATAAAATGTTTATAATTCACATTTATTTTGTATATTCTTTTCTTAAATTCTATTTTATAAATTTTATATTTATTTTAGAGATTTTGAAAATTTATTACAACTTATTTTTTTAAGTTTACCTGTTACCTGAATAGCAGGTTAAGCGTATTTTATTAATAATTGAATGGTAAGTATAGTTATTAAAAATAGTAAGCATAATCATATCAAATAGTAAGTATATTTAGTTATTGTGATAAGTTGAAAACCACTTTTTGGTTTCAAAACCATTGAAAACTATCTTATTTTTTACAAAACTACCTAGATTTCTTAATCTGATTTTAATTATTACCAATCAATGGTTGGATTTATTTTACCTTTAGATCTAATGATCCAAAATTATTTATATATGATACATGAAAACCACCTTCATGTATCATAGAAAAATCCAAACATGAATCATATAAATAGTGAAAAAAGGAAAATATATATATATGTATATGGGAAAAGATAGGGATCATGAAAATTTTGTCATGAAAATGATTATGAAAAATTTATGATCCTTGGATTACCTTGATTAGTGTGTGGTGCTTTATTCTAAGTGTAATCCAAGTGTCACAAAGCTTTCATGATTATTTTCATGAAAAGTTTTTCATGATACCTAGCATTGTTGTATATATATATATATATATATATGCATGCGGGCCAGCTCTAAAATCCACAATCCAAAAAGAGAAGTATAAAATGATGAAGTGGAGAAGAAAATGGTGCAACATATATAAATAGTGAAAAAAGGAAAAAAAACATATATGCATGTGGGCCAGCTCTGAAATCCACAATCCAAAAAGAGAAGTATAAAATGATGAGGTAGAGAAGAAAATGGTGCAACAAAAAACAAAAGAAACAATAAGGACACAGCAAGCTTTTGACATCACAATATGGACAAATAAATGTATGTGTATTTATTATGTATGAGAATGGCTTGATTAGTTCAATTATCAAGCCGCTTAATCAGTTGTTTAAGGTTTATAAAAAAAAAATATTTTAATTTTGTTTTTGTTTTTGTTGCTGAAGGTCTAAAATTTTATGTAAGAAAAGTATATTCATTTTGATGATAGGGTCACTTTGGAATCATTAAAAGTGTGATTAGCAAGACTTGTAACACAAAATCTTTAAATTTATTATTAATTTCAGTGACAACTTTAAAGTACTGAACTATTCTGAAATGATCAAATGTTTGATTGTTAAAAAATATCATGAAGAACAAAGGATGGTCTTATCAAACAACAACAACAACAATAATAATAATAATAATAATAGCAAATCATAATGAAATTTATTGTACAAGACAGTGTAATTTATGTCTCTCCTTTAGGATTTGAAATTCACAATCCTGTGATCAGGTGAAAGGAAATCAACATACTTCAATTAATATTCATTTTATTTTTTTATTTTAAAGATGCTCGAACTCAAGCTCTAATTTGCACTAAAATAAATAATAAATAATAATAAAAAATGAAAAAGAAATTCAACCGTGGAATCATTATAACATATAAGAGTTTTAGAGATCAAATGTTTTGGTCTCTAAAAATGAAAAATTTGTTGCAAAAGACATTTAGGGACCAATTTCTATCATCGTAAGGATAGTCGCTAAAAGGTCGTCCCGAAAAGTCAAAAATAAAGCTTTTAGAGACAAAATTTTGAAAATGTCACTAATAAATAGACTTTTAGGGACAAAATAATTTAGTCTCAAAATGATTTATTTGTTGAGACAAAATTTGGTCCCAAATAGATAATAATTCATCACTAATGTCCAATTTTCGTTGCTAAAATTTCGTTGCTAAAAATATGATAACGATATTTTTTGTAACAAAAATATTTGGTCCCTAAAAAATAATTTTGTTCCTAAATTTTGATCCGTATAACCTTAATTTTTTTTTTAGTGAATCCACAATTTTCATAGATATTAAGCAAACAACCACAACATACACATTAGTCTAGAATAATAAAGCTGTGGTGGTAATCAATGACTAAGCGCATAGTTGGCATTTTTACTTAAGAATCACTAAAATTACTTCAAAATATAATAATTAAAAAAACATATTTAAAAAATATAAATAAAATTAGATTCTACCATTTAGACCGAGCCAGTTAAGATTATTCATTGAAGTCAAGACTTTGCTGGTCTAACCTTAGCATGATTGATTATGCGAATATACATATATGGTCAGACCCTCTCCTGTCCTTTTTGCCAAGAAAAATAAAATAAAAGACAATGTTTGTGCAAAAAAAACTTTTAATGCTTAGGCACGAATGAAGATAAATATGACACTGTTTAATAATGTTATAATGAATACATTGTATATTATAAAGTATTTATTATTTCATATTTATGTCTCGATTGACCGCTCATTTCTATTATCAATACAGTAATGTTACATAAAATAATAAATACTTTATGATACATATTTTTTTAATACGCCCATATGCACATAAAAGAGATTATCCTATGATAATGATTAGATGTTAAGCTTTTTCATTAATTTCTTATCTTTTTCCTCTTGCACGAGTGGAATTGGGTGGATCTGAAACGTGGTGGAGGGTTTATACATAGTAACAAAAATTTGCACAAAAAAAACCAAACCAAAAAAATCAAAAATCAACACAAATCTTTCTCTCTAAGTGGAGGTATGACCCATTATGCTTTCCATCCATTGGAAAGTGCTAAAGAGAGTCCCAATGACATCAACAATGTTAGGTATTTAAAAAAATTTATTTAAAAAAAACTTTTTATAAAAAAAAATATGTAAAAAAATAAAAAATAATAATAAAACAATTTATAGTGACTTTTGACTAAGATATATAATTGACAAATAAAACCTAAGTATGGTCAACATCAATATCATTTATCAAAAAGGTTTGATTGTACATTTCCAAATTGTAGGCTCCATGGAACTTTCTCATGCCAAGAATCCAGGCCCGACTCAAAATAATCACAATTTTTTGATTATATGAAATCTCAAGACATGAGAGTTTGAAGACATAATTCAACAACAATGAATGTTTTAAGAAAAAGGAATAAAAAATTTTAAAAATGGAAGATCTTGTGACTTTTCAATATCCATGCATCAAGTAAATTTAAAGCCACCATCAGGATCCATTTATATTTAGATGACCACACAACACTACTAAAAAACAGTATTTTTTGCGACCGTCATAAACCGTTGCAAATAAGAAAAATATAGTCGTAAAAGACCTTTTGCGACCGCAAATGGGGAACACAAATGTGGGAGTGACAAATACTTTTTGCGACGGCAAAACAACAGTTGTAAATTATTTGCGATCATCTAAACTACTTATGGCAACTATTATTTTGCGGTCGCAAAAAATAAAAAAAAAAATACTAGCAAGTTTTTGGCGACCATTTTGTCACAATAGCAAATAGTTTTCAATGACATTTATAAATAGTACAATAATAGCTTTTTAACAACGAATTTTTTGTTGTCGCAAATAATTTTTTATTATAAACATCGTACATCATTTCTTTCAAGTACAAGCACCTAACGAGTTCAAAAACAAAAAGTACAAGCACCTACAAAATTCTTTAAAAAATCTAGATAATATAACTAAATTTACATAATATGCCTTTCGTAAGTCATGATACAAGCACATGCCTCTAAATGACTCAAAATGTGCTTGTGAAACTTCAATTTTAGCCAAGATTGCATCTCTCTATTCCTGTTGACCAAAACCAAGTTAACATTTCAAACACATGTTTGACAACACAGCAAGAAATTTGCAAATAAAAAACAGAGCAATCAAGGAAAAAATAAAGAACTCCAATGAAGATAGTCAGATGGTGGATGGATGAGAATGAGAGATCTGGCTGGGACTACCACATCAAGGTAAAATGTGGGTGGTAGTAACATGTACTTCATGCACAACATAAAAAAGAAAAAGATTCTCCTCAAATGGCAATTTTATGAAAACATTAATATCTATATATATATCCACATTTTAGGAGTATCCAAAAACAAAAATAAATAAATAAATATGAAGAAGAAAAGAAAACCACAGTTCCCTTCAACATTAACAGGTTCACTACAACACTGTAGTTGCCACACCAGGAGATTTGCATAAGAGCAATTTAAGTAACTTCAATGGCACTCAACAAGCAGAAATTATCACCAGTTGACGACTCCAAACTCCAGAATAATGTAAATTCATGTAATAACTGGAGGAAACGAAGTCCTAAAGAAGGAGGTTAACAGCAGCACACCTGATGTAAAATTAACTGAAACAGAAAATTATTGAACTCATGCCAATACCTGATACATAAGTTTGAAAACAAAGGAAGAATTAAAAAGCAAATATTTTGATAGACAAGTATAAATCATATAAAATATAAATAGCATGTTCTAAATGAACAAACTTTACAAACAGAATCATACCCTTAATAATCAGTCTAATAATTTAATACTTAATCAAAAGCCATTCAAATAGTGAAGTCACTTTACTGAGCAATTTCATGAAGAAACTCACCGCTCCTCTAACTTGTTAAAGTGGCTAGATTTTAACTTCAATTCCTTCAGTTTGGCAGTCACTTGAGCACACTGCTTTTCTGTTTCTTCAATAGCTGCTTCGAGTTTTCGTTCTTCTTCTTCGATCTTAAATATGAACATTGTGAACCCCAAAACAAAAATATTTTCCATAAAATACTAACTGGTAGGGCATTAAGAAGAAAATACATTAATTGCATGTGGGATCTGTTAAAAATATTCCATGAAGGATTTCTCACCTTGTAAGATTGTGCAAAAATAGCATATACATGTGCATCTAGGCCACCTTCACCTCAATTTCTTTAATGATATGAAAGTCGATTAATATATTTATAAAGGCCTATCAGTTGCCTTGACAAAATTGCACACTTCTATCTAAAGTTGAGTAGCCACCATACAAATAATTAGCGAACAACAGTTTTCCTTTAATTGAGGGTAAAATGCTTCTGTACACATTTATTTTTAACATGTTTTCCCCACTTTTGAATAAGATTTCCTTCTGTTCTAGACCTCGAATAAAAGGGAGGAAAGGGACATGAAAAAAAGAGATAAAAGAGAGTTAATTAACACTTAAAATAACAGAATGAAAAAATGAGTTAATTAACACTTACAAAACACAAAATAAAATAAAATAACAGAATGAAAAAATGATTACTTAAACGTGTTGGTGGCGCAAAATCTAGTCATTCCACAACTTGCATCTTATAAAGACTCATCACCAAACCATTAGTAAAAAATAAATAACCAATTCCTCTTCTTCAAATCCATTACTTATCCCAAACTCTCTTGTAAGTAAGTGGGAACATTGTGCACTAGATACAACCTTTTAACAAGTGCACATTTATCACCAAAAATTAAAGATTTCACAAAATGAAAAACAGATGAGAGATAAAATGTAATGCCCAGCCTAATGTTTAACATGAATATTTTCCTAGAATTAGAGATCACTGCTTATAGTTGTTAGATCAATAATGTTAACAGATGAACAATACATGTAAATATGCATAGTTTATCATCGTTGATATTTTATGATTTTAGAAGTCATTCTTGGGATTGAAGAAGTATGCTTACAAACACTCCTCAATGCTATTTACTGCATTCTACAATTGTCATCATTATTTGAACCAGCAAATCCGTTATAGATGCACAACATTGTTTATTCAAACCTAATTAATTACATGATATATAAAATAGATAAAGTACTTAATGTAGAAGGGCATTTGGTCTAGTGGCATGATTCTTGCTTAGGGTGCAAGAGGTCCCGAGTTCAATTCTTGGAATGCCCCTTTTTTGATTTTCTTTTTCTTTCTTTTTTGGCTGGTCCTTGTGCAAAATGATCTTCTTTTTCTAGCAAGAGGATTGAGAAAGGGAAGGAAAGGACAGCCAAAAAAATAAAATAAAATTGGATTGTCTAAACAATCTCTTTAGTTGCAGCCCAACATAGAGCAAAATTGCATGCTTCTATCATTAAGACACCAGGAATCAAGAAATGAAAGGCTGCTCTGCTCATAACCAACAGACATTAGAGATGCAAACAGAGTTGTGAATGTGTTACCATAGATATAGGTGTGTTATGAAAATCAACTAGTTGAATGTAAAATAAAATAAATAAATAAATTGAAAAGGCTATCAAAATTTGAAACTCAAAATCAAAATATGAGATAGTTATACTGGGATAATTTGGAAATAAGTGTAATAGTTCACACTAACAGAGTTGTATGTATATAATAATAATATTAATAATAGTATAGATAACGAGGAACCCTTGATCCCACTTTTGGTGAGACCCAGGATAAAACTCCAAATATGACCATCCACTAACCTTATATATAGCGAAGTAGGAATTCAAATTTAAGAGCTCTGATTTTTTACCTGGGGACTTACCCTTTCAAGCTAGCCCTCATGGATGCAAGCTCTCTGACATTGGGACTAAAGTCATATCTAACCTTATTGGGTTGGCACAATTCAACCATACAGAAGAAATTGAACAATCAAGTGTATATTTCTATTTAGTTGTAGCTCCATAGAATACATACATATGGAAGTACAGTTCTACTGTCTCAATAAAACAACAGCACACAACTAGCAAGATATCAGAAAATCAAACAAAAAATGCTCAATTCCTGCATAAAATATGATCACAATCAGTTACAACCAAGGAGGTGAAATCAAGCAAGTATGTAAGAGCAATGCTATATACATATATATATATATATATAGAGAGAGAGAGAGAGAGAGGTGAGAATTGGAAGGTGAAGCGATAACAATTAAGAATTGAATGGTTCAACTTGTACCTGTAGCAGACGAGGAAGGATTGATTCAAACCGAAGCTTGTTTCCAGAATCAGACTACCTGGTGGAAAAATCAATAGATTGATGAAAAAGTGATCGAATTACAGTGAGTTTAGACGAAGAAGTTGAGTACAAATTACAGTGAGTTCAAGTGATCGAAGTAGAGAGATGAATAAGTTGAAATACGAATGAATGATTTGAAGAGGCTCACTGTGAGTGTGTGTGAGAGAGAGAGAGAGAGAGAGAGAGAGTTCATACCGTTGGAGATCTCTTCTTCAGACGACCATGGTGATCTATAGAGCGAAATCGAGAGAGGGAAATCAGATTCTCTTACTCAGACACGATTGAGCGAAATCAGATTTGAGGGAAATGAGAGTCTAGGGCAAGTTTTACACAATCAGATTTGGGAGAAATGAGAGTTTAAAAAAAAAGGAAAATATAAATTGGGCTGAGTGGGTTCCCAATAGTGGGCTCGCAAGTTTTGCATAGGCTGAGTGGGTTCACAAGTTTTTGCTTCGGCTGATCTGCCGTTGCAAATAATTTTTTTTGCGACGGTTAAATAATCAATCGCAAAAAACTAGACGCAAAAAGTTATTTTTTTAGTAGTGCAAGAACCAGCAAACGTGAGGTCTCAGTTTGCTATAATTGGGTTACCACAAAAAAAAAACATTCCTTTTAATTCACATCAAGCACTTAGGATAGCTAAAAACGTAACATCCAATACACATTGTGAATTCCAAATACATATTTTAATATTCTCCTCCAGGAAAAAAATAAATAAATGAAATAGAGTAAAATGTTACGCAATTCCATGGACATCTTAGGCAGCCACACAAGTAACTGTCAATACGGAAATGCAGATTTCATGATCTAGATTCATGACAATTAGCCTCCACACAAAAAATAATACTTACCGCCTCTCCTAAACTTTGATGTGAATCTTGTGCACTGGGTATGACTTAGATTCATAAATGTTCCCAATTCATTTCTCTTCATTGATTGTGTGACGAAACTAATAAGAATGCATCAACAAAATATATGGCTTGTTATGAAGCATCATTGAACAATCTTAAAATTATAAAGAACTAATCTGTAGCAGACAATGAAATTGAAGTATATGCATTATATTTATTTTTTTTCCATTTTTCAACATTCGTAGAGCAATATTACACAAGAATTCTTCCTCCAAAATAATGTTCACGATATGGTAACATTGAACCAAATTGTATTCATATCAACCTATATCAAACAAAAGATCTAAGGAAAGTTATCACAGAAACTCAAGTGATTTTATTATTTTAAAAAGAGGCACCAAAAAGAAAAGAGAGATAGAGAGAGAACAAGAAAACAAAACAAAAACAAGTCACTTATACATGATATACAAAATCCAAAAATTGGTACTAAGAGGGATCAACTCCACCCGAGACCAACTGTACAAAGTAGCCAAAATTCCACTCTTCAATTTAAAAATAGGAATTTTCAAACCATCAAAAGTCCTCCAATTATGTTCACCCCAAATAGCCCACATCAAAGCCAGAGGTACCAAATTCCAAGAGTTCTTCCTAGTCCGTCCTACTCTTCAATTGAGTTCTATGCAAGGAATTTTCAAACCTTCAAAAGTCCTCCAAGTATGTTCTCCTCCCCAAATGGCCCACATCAAAGCCAAAGCAAATTCCTAGCCTTTTTCCTAGTCCTTCCTAGTCTTTAAATGAGGTCCATGCAGTTTATTAAAGCCTTTAGCAAGAATAACATGAATTCCCTTGAAAACATGCACAACTGATTATGATATGCAGATATTTTTGCCACATAAGCATCAGCATACAGCTGAGAATTCAAGGACCAATTGCTTATACAGCTGAGTTCAAAAAAATAAAAAAATTGCTTATACAGCTGATCCAGTGACATCACATCTCTCTCTGTACCACCCTCAGAACACACTGAACCATTCAGTCACCAAAATGATTCTATGCTAATCCATTTAACTGTATTTTGGGCCACAGACCAGAGTCTTAAACCAATCATCAAAATAGACAATGCATCAAATATTTGCTATCTAGTCATAATATTTTTAACCTAGGAGATCATCTTATGAGATGTTTAAAAGAACTCAAATCTTGGCATGTTACAAGCATATGGAAAAAATTAAGTAGGCATCCTAACATGTAAAGCACCATCATTAGTTAACATCTTTTGGAAATGCCTTAATGATCAAACTTTAAGCTGTGATCTGTGTTGCATGGACTATTCTATTTCCCCCCGAACGTACCAGTGTCCACCAGATATGAAAAGGGTAAAGGTGTGAAATATGTGTCTAACACTCATATCCAATTTAGACGCTTGGATACTTTAATTTTTTACAACGTTAGAGGAAAGAGAAACTCAAATTTGCTAGTAAAGAAACATTTCTAACATCTCACATCTAGGAAGCATAGATACGGATACGAGATACGGATAAGACACGATACGGATACGGCGATACGACAAAACCTAAAAAAATAGGATACGTGTACGGTTAGGATACGTTTGTGGAAAATATATTTTTTTAAATTATTAATAGTGAGTTATATATAAGCTAAAGAATGTTAAGAAATCACAATGTAATTTTATAATGCACAATACTATCTTTTAAGAATTTTGTATTAATTTAAGCTAATAGCTTGTTTACTTTTTAAATTTTTAATAGGTCTTGCAAATATTTCATTTCAGTATCAAGTTTAATATATTTATATTACAATAATAGAACAATTCACAACTTGTCCCTATGCTTTTTCCTTTGACACTAGTGAAAAATATTATATTCAAGTTTACTTGCTTATTTATTTATTGATATTTAATTTTACCATTGTTATATTCTTTTGTTAATTCTTAGTTTCTATGTAGTTATAGGGGACATGCAAGAAATAATTAGGATACATCAATTTGATAAATTCTATTATTTAACTCACTATGCTCTTCTTATTGAAGAACTTAACAAAATATTAGAAAAATATTCTTATATTTATACTTGCAATTATATTATATTCTATTACTATGCAATAAATGTTACAATTCTAATTTCATAAAACAAGTAAACATGACTTGGAGTATCCGATACTTCAAAATTAAGTATTTGATACTCCAAAATTAATGAAAAATTAATTAAGAAGTATCCGATACTTTTAATAAGTATCCGATACATATCCGCGAGTATCCAAGGAGTATCGGTATCCGATACGGATACGATACGAATACGTCACCCTATTTGAAGTATCCGTGCTTCATAGTCTCACATGAATGAGTTAAATTTCCATATATTCTTTAAATCCTATTTAATTTCAAATACATTTCTATATAATTTACAACATCTTATCCAAAAATACTATACAATATGCAATATATATGCGTGTGTGTGTGTGTCCGTCCATGAAGTGTCCCCGTGCCCATATTTAACTTTTGAATACATATCCCAATAACGTAAGAATTAAGTATATAAAGGTCTGACGCTTGGAGAAACACCCACAGGTGACCCTAATAGCCGAGTCTATGTAACATAGGCTACAATATGTATTTTTAAAACATTGGAGGAGGAGATGTTTATATTGATTCTATATAACTGAAGGCACAAAGTAAATAAACAATTAAGCGTCAAAAGCAAATTCTGATTCAAAAGCTCGATCAATTTATTAGAGGCCAAATACAAACCTTGTTCTCAGGTGCTCTCGCTATGAGCTGCCTTCTAGTAATAGAAAGATTAGACTTGTAATTTTTTTGTTTCTGACACAACGAAAGCTCTAGCAAAGCGTTATTAAAAACAGTCCAATATTCTTCAAAACCCAAATATTGGATCAATTAAAGAGGAAACATCACAAGTGCATCTGTGTAGTAAGTTGTAAGAGAATAAAAAAAAAAGGTTAGCATTTCAGAATTAACAACACAACCTGACACAAATCAGTGTTACTTATAAAGAAGTCTTTTCATATCCTACAAGATGACTATTCAAAAGAACAAATGGTAAGAAGGACAAAAGCTATACAATTAAATAATAATAAAAATTTTAATATATCAAAGCTCAAAGACAGGAGACCCTTGACTCCACCTTTTACAAGGACATTTTCCAAAACGTAAGAGAACTAACCTGAAGGCTGAATCAGAAGGGAATAAAAACCCTGAATGTTTCAAACTGTTGTGTTGTATTCCTTGTGATAATACAATAAGCATGACTGATCTTCAGCATTTTTTGGAGCAAGAATCACCTCAATCCAAAAGCATCTAATCTTGAGCCAGAAACAAAATCCCACAAGGACTCGACTCAAACATGTATGCCTGCAACATGAAAACCCAAAATAGGGTCTACAGAACCAGTTCAACTTCCCCTGTAAGCATTAAGAGTTAATGGAAACATTATACAAATGCCCATCTATATCTGGAACGAATCCCCTCTCCATCATTTCCTCCTTAACTATGTCATAGGTTGTTCGATTTGGAACCAAACCCTTCTCTAACATCTCATTAAGAAGCCCATTTGCTTCTTCCAGCTTACCCTTCTTGCAAAAACCTTTAATCAATACATTATATGATACAACATTTGCCCGCTTCCCATCTCTCTCCATGCGTGTCCTCATATTCAAAGCAGCCCTGAGGTTGCCTTCCATGCAATAACCATCTATCAAAGTATTGTAGATCATATGATTAGGAATCACATCCCTCCCAAACATTTCATCCAAAAGTCTAGCTGCCTTTTTTGACTCCCCTTTCTTACACAATGCATCTAAACGTATGTTATATGTTATAAGATCAGCTCTCAAACCCTTATTCTCCAGTTCATCTATAAGCTTACTAGCGACTTCCATGTTTCCCTCTCTAAGAAAACCACCAATTAAGCAATTATAGGTCGAAACATCAGGAAACAACTTTCTGTCCAGCATCAAATCACGCAATGCAATTGCTTCTTCCATTCTCCCAGCTTTACAGTAAGCATCAATCAAGGTATTAAATGTTACAGCATTTGCATCCAATCCTTGTTCAACAATATCATCAAACAAATCTCTAGCTTCCTTCAACATTTTCTTTTTAGAAAACCCATTGATAAGGGTATTACAAGTAACAATATAATTTTACCATTGTTATATTCTTTTGTTAATTCTTAGTTTCTATGTAGTTATAGGGGACATGCAAGAAATAATTAGGATACATCAATTTGATAAATTCTATTATTTAACTCACTATGCTCTTCTTATCGAAGAACTTAACAAAGTATTAAAAAAATATTTTTATATTTATACTTACAATTATATTATATTACTATGCAAGAAATGTTACAATTCTAATTTCATAAAACAAGTAAATATGACTTGGAGTATCTGATACTTCAAAATTAAATATCCGAAACTCTAAAATTAATGAAAAAATTAATTATCGGATATGTATCCGCGAGTATCCAAGGAGTATCGGTATCTGATACAGATACGATACGGATACGTTGCCTTTTTAGAAGTATCCGTGCTTCAAAAAGAATGAAAAAAATTATTTTGCTTTCCCATGAATGAGTTAGAGGCGATGTATGTATAATAGATTTATGATACAATTTAGGAAACGATATAAGTAAGGAAACAATACTAAATCAGTGATTGTCACAATCACAGATTATACACATAATACTAAAAATAAAAAGATGCAATGTACTCTATTCTAATTTCTATATTCAACACTCCCTCTCAAGTTGGTGTGAAGATATTCAACAATTGCAGCTTGGTAATGGATGACTGGAAGAAGCCGGAAAAAACTCAACGGCTAGTCCAAATAAATGCTACCGAACATACTACTAAATAAAAAAGACCAAAAAGTGCTTAATACATCAGCACCACACCCTAGAAAGGGAAAAAACAGGGACTGAACTGCCCTAGAAGAAACTGACCGGAATCAATGTTAGGACAGTTTAAAAGAATCAACTGATCGGGATCAATGTCGGGACAGTTTACGGGATCTTGCCGGATCGTTGTAAGAACTAGCCGGATGTTGAACCAGCAAGTGTGGCACATACATAACTTATGACGTGGTGTTAAACGATGATGACAACAGATGACTGAGTTCGCCAAGGGGCAGCTTATTAGAAGGTGAGCCAGAACAGCTTTGGTGGTGTGCTAGAGGGGCGGCTTTAGTTGTGCGCCAGAAGGGGGGGCTTAGGTGGTACGCCAAGGGGGCGACTTAGGTTGTGTGCCAGAGAGGGTGGCTTAGGTGGTTCACATGGTATATCACCATGCTCACCATGATATAAACATAATACCCCCCTCAAACTCAAATAGGTTTGAAGATAGAAACCTATTTGAGGTTGAAATAGAAGAAAAGACAGTGAAACAAAAACACACACAAAAAAAAAAAAGATTGCAAGATATATCCTCGTGTCACAAATATGTCTATAATAAACAAGACAAAAGCACGACAAAGGAAGCAATTAGAATTTAAAATTTAAAAAAGCTAATTGACTTGGATGTTAACGTACAATATATTGATCTAATCTTTTTGTTCTTACTTAGCTCCAGAGCAGCCACTATGGCCCCAAATGTAACAGAACAACTAAAAAAAAATTAATTGATAGTTTTGAAACACTCAAATGCAATGTATGCATCCCCAAGAACGAACCTGCTTACCCAAACACATAAAAACTTGTTTATAATATATATATATGTAAATTTAAACATAAAATATGTATATTTATAAAATAAAAAATAATAATGTTATGGTACACATTTTTGGTGTGTAAAAAAATGTATAATTAAAATAACATCATAATAAAATGAAGAATCTTTCTCTCTCTAAATTTTTTTCTAGGGTTTCTACTGCTGGCGCTGTAGGGGATGGGGAGAGGTTTCTAGTCACCGTCCTCCTTTTTTCTCTTTTCACTTCTTTTTTTCTTTTTTTCGTTTCTTCACTTTTTCGCAAAATAAGCTTGGAAGCTTATTTTTCCATTCATCTCCCTCCTTGTGAAGTGTGTTTTATACCAAAATTATCTTATTCACTCTCCTCTTCTGCCTCTCTTCAACACCGCCACCACCACTGCCACCAAATTCGCCATCATCTCGCCTCCATAGTCCCACCCTCATCAGATCTATCACCATCCCCTTCTCCACTTCCTTTCTCCACCAAATCTACCTTCGACCACCGGTGTCGCCGTCACCTTTTCCCCCGCTTGAGGTCTAAAGGTTGTCTTCCTTTTCTTTGTTTTGTTTTTTTGGTGTTTGGTTGTATGGTTAGATTTCCATCGGAGCTTTGATTGTTGCTTACCTGTTGTGGGGATATATTTTTCTGAGTACCAACACGTGGCAAGGTGACGCCGACGTGTCAGCCGAGGTGCCACGTGTCTTGGTCATTGTGCCGAGGTCATCTTGGCTAGGCCGAGGTTGCCTCCGAAGATATCGGAATCCGAGATAAGCGGATAAGGGACAAGAGTCCTAGAAAGAAGAGGGAACTCAACTTGGATATGGACAAGAGTCCCAGATTGGGAGAAGACTTTAGTTTGGGTAAAGATAAGACTCTTAGAGAGTTTATCCTAATCCCACTGGGAGTCCCAGATTAGCAGTAATCCTAAGTCCATTAGGGCCAGACTCCTATTGGGACTAGGATTGTATTGGCTATAAAAGAGAGGCACCCCCATGGGTCTAAGGTATGCTTTTGATACTCAAGCTTGTGAGTTTAGTACTTGATTTATCTTTGAGAGATATACTGACTTGATCGTCGGAGTGCCCCCGGGTGGTCGAAACCACCGCGGGATTCTTATATTTCTGTTGCAGGTCAGTCAGGTGCCATCTATTCTGCCAGTGCTCTCCAGCTGGTTACTAAGCGGACAGTGTGGTCAGAAAATCACCCACACAATTTGGCGCCGTCTATGGGAAAGAAAGAAGAATAGATGGCCAATGACGGACAGAAGGATCAGACTAGAAACAACGCTCCTGCTAGGAGTGGGAGACCTATCGATCTCGACGTTGAAGGAGACAACCGCAACACAGAAACTCGTGACCAGAGTCACGGAGTGAAAGAAACCGGCCAGGAAGGTGACACACCAAAGACAACAGATCGAAGCAACGAAGACAACCTCTAGGTATGGAAGGATAGATACCTGCGGAGGAACGAAGACCCTTCCAGAAGGGATACAAAGACAGGGGGCATGAGCGCTCCCAAGGAAGTAACATTCAAATATAGAAGAGCTCAACCTGAGTGAGCAAATTCCGGATCCCGGATCCCAGAAGACATGATCTCAGCCTAAACAAGTAGGCCCGAGATAATGCTTAACTGAAGTTAAGCCGAGATAATACTTAACCGTAGTTAAGTCGAAGATGATGCTTAACCAAAGTTAAGCCAAAGATAATGCTTAACCGAAGTTAAGCCGAGATAATACTTAACCGTAGTTAAGTCGAAGATGATGCTTAACCGTAGTTAAGCCGAAGACAATGCTTAACCGAAGTTAAGCCGAAGATGATGCTTAACCGAAGATAAGTCGAAGATAATGCTTAATCGAAGTTAAGCCAAGATGATGCTTAACCGAAGTTAAGCTGAGATGATGCTTAACCGAAGTTAAGCCCAGATGGTTCCTTATCTTCACTTGTTGAAATTTGTAGCAATTTACAAGTCGAAGTTAAGCCGAGATTATTCCTTAATTCACTTGTTGAAATTTGTAGCAATTTACAAGTTGAAATTAAGCTGATTCCTTAATTCACTTGTTGAAATTTGTAGCAATTTACAAGTTGAAATTAAACCGATTCCTTATCTTCACTTGTTGAAATTTGTAGCAATTTACAAGTTGGAGTTAAGCTAATTCTTTATCTTCACTTGTTGAAATTTGTAGCAATTTACAAGTCGAAGTTAAACCAAGATTATTCCTTAATTTACTTGTTGAAATTTGTAGCAATTTACAAGTTGGAATTAAACTGATTCCTTAATTCACTTGTTGAAATTTGTAGCAATTTACAAGTTGGAATTAAGCTGATTCCTTATCTTCACTTGTTGAAATTTGTAGCAATTTACAAGTTGAAGTTAAGCCGAGATTACTGTTTCTCTTCACTTGTTGAAATTTGTAGCAATTTACAAGTCGAAGTGAAGCCAAGGTTATAGTTTGCACACTTGTAGCAATCTACAGGTTGGTCCAACCAAAGAAGATGCTTAACACCTGTTGAAATTTGTAGCAATTTACAAGATAATGTTAAGCCGACATGTGATCATCTGTTGAAATTTGCAGCAATTTACAGGTTGAGGAAAGAGCTAAGTATATTTACACACTTGTTGAGATTCGTAGCAATTTGCAAATAGATTATTGTTTAACACTTGTTATGTTAATCCTTGTTGAAATTTGTAGCAATTTACAAGTAGGCTAGACCGAGATCACCGTTTAAACACTTGTTGAAACTTGAGAAAAAGTTTGTAAAGATAACATTGAGTAGTATATGTTTCGCACCTGTTAGAATTTATGAAAAGTTTGCAGGTCAGTATCTTGCCGAAGTAAAAGTTTTTATACCCGAGGTATGTAACCCCGAGAAGATTGCATAAAGGAGGCAAAGTATGAAAGGCATATAAAATATTCTAAGTATAGAATCGTGCAAGAGCAATTAGAAGAAGATCAAGACAGAATTCATGGTGATTGACACGCCCTCGCCATACAATATCATCTTGGGAAGGCCATGGTTGCATACAATGGGGGCAATTCCCTCAACGTTGCATCAACTATTGCGGTTCCCCACAGAACATGGGATTGAAGAAGTCAGAGGAAACCAACTGCAGGCAAAGAATTGCTCCATGGCAGCAATGAAAATTACCTGCAAACATTCAGGAACCAGGGAAGGCAGAGATTGAAGACAAGGACATGGAGGTCCTAGATGGTGTCGGCAAGGAGCCAGCCAAAAAGAGTGAAGAGACACTGAAGAAATCCTCGTCCAGGAGGGCGACGAAGAGCGCTTCATTCAGAGAAGGAAAATTGAATTTCAAAAACAAGGAGGCACATCGGCCATATGCAGAGCTTACATTATCTAAAGAACAAAAAGGTACAAGAGTACAAGCGACAAAAAGAAGGAAAAAC